GAGCGTCGTATAGTTGCTAGTGAATTTAGAAAGCACAGAGGAGGGCATATAATGTATTTTTTATTGCCACCAAGTTTTAATCAGATGTTGTCAGAGCTCTTGTAATTAGTCTAAGACCATAAAGTTTTAGAGCGTGATCTGAACTGCTGTAATTCTGCACATACAGAACATTCAGTAACTTCCACAAAGTCTTTCAGACTTGGGTGAAACTAGGGAGGCCAGTCTACATTCAATTATTGATTGATAAATGCTCAGCAACGTACTTCATACTGAGGTCAGCAAAACATGCACCAGTAAGGCACAGCATGTGTTTTTCATGTGATCTGAAGGTGGGAAAAGGAAATTCAATTTCCTCCAAAACCTGTCTGTGCAATACTCTTTACTGAGCAGGAATTCTGTGCCCAATTACACATATTAAACCTTCCTACGATTCACCTGTAATAAGAACCTGCCCTGAGAAAAGCAGAAAACCTTCCACAGTTTGCTGGCATTTCAGGTCTTCACAGCCAAAGCTGTGTCCTTACCTGAGGAGGGTGTGAAAAGAACTTTGCTTCCAGCTTCCCTCTAAGACAATGATCCAAAGCCAAAACTAAGTGGGGAGTGAAGTCGCTGAACATCTTTATGTACCTAAACCCATTTTGGTCTGTCCACAGATGACTTGAGAGAGGAGGCACCCTGGGACATCCCAGGAAATGTAATTCTGCCTGGTGCTCAGTGGTTCCATGCTGCATGCTTAAGTGTAAAGCCTGGCAAAACCAACTGTAAATAAGACGTGGGAACATTGGGGAAATCAAGAGAAGCGATTGGCAAAAATGGTGTAAGTAAAACACTTTCTCCTTGTCAGTGCTGAGCTTGTGCATGCTTCCTTAGCTCTGCTTTGTATTCCTTTTAAAACATGAGTGTAAAGCAAATGGCTTCTCTCCCTTTTCCTGAGCCTGCAAGCCTGCTCCCACCACACAAAAGGTCAGAAAATGGGGACAGGAGACAGTTAACAAGAACAACTGGTAGGAAAAAAGTTGTTTTAGTGTCATGGAGGAGATTTGCAGGAACAAATTTGAGTTGGATTCTAATCCTCCAACAGTTTTAGCCAAAGTTGAAGTCCACTTTTTGATAAGTATTAACTCCTTCCTTGAGCAAAACACAAACCCACCACATTTCTTTTTCCTTTTTTTATGTAATTCCATCACAGTCTCTTAACTTGAAATCTGAAATGCCTGAAATCAGATATTTCCATATCTTCCTGAAAGTCTATTTAGGTACAACTGACTTGTAGCTACAAGAAAATTGCCATTACAGATCACTGTTTTTCTCAAGAACCTTGCTAGAGACCGATTGCTTAAGGCTTACAAACTTGCTGTCTCTTGTGCATGTGCACTGCCCTGGTGTCAGTTAAGAGAACTTTCCACAGCACCAAATCTGCAATCAGGTCATGTCAACTATTTCTTTAATTATTTCCATCTGCAGGCCTAAGGCAAAAAAAGACAACTCCATCAGAACATCTTTTAGATTGGCAATGAGTGCAGGGAGGCTGGTATTCAGAGATCCATCCATCCATTTCTTATGGAGCAAACCCATTTTACCTGACCAGTGTTACAGAAGACATAATTTAAACTTACTTTTTAATATGGCTGAACATGGCCTCCTCTGATCATGTCACACTGACTGAGATTATGCTGATGGGAGAAATAGGCTTACCTACGTCCCAGAAGTGATGTAAATAGATGACTAAATAAATGCCTGTGCAATTCTTTGAAGACAAACTTCAATAAAAATAAAGTGCAAAAATGAGATTGCAAATATTTCAGTTCAGTAATCCAAATTTAACATTCAGTAATCCAAATTTAACATTCAGTAATCCAAATTCAACAGTATTGCAGGTGGTGTTTCTTAATCTTCACATGCTTTATTTCTGCCTAATCATCTTCTTTACCTTACAAGGATGCTGTGAAGATTATTTTATTAATAACTTCAAATCAAAATATGCTAGTGGTGGGTACTTTAGAAAGACATTAAAAAGTTAATACTTCTGTATTCAGTTTGGAAGTTAGAAATGGAGCATCAGGAGCATACATTAAAAGATGAAAATAAAGGAACGTTAAAGGGTTGCATGATCTCTTGAACAGCAACTTTGCCAGGTACCAAGTGCCACAAAGGAAGTAAAGCATGTTGCTGCACAATTAAGCAAGAGATGTGCATAGTACATTCAAATCAAAGCTTCTTGGGTAATGTTAACTTTGGCATTTATCGGCTTACGAAATAAGGCTACAAATGAGTAATGGTATTTTAATCTGTTTTAAACATGACTGTAATTGCATAAGGGGAACAAATAGCAACACCTGTTAAAATCAGGTTTATCACTCATCAAGGAAAGCATCATAATTTATATTGAATTTTTTCAGTAGTTGTTGGCTGAGATACACTCTTCACGTGAATCAAAATAAGCCATAGGGCTAAGAGATTCAGTGATTCAATATCGGAAATTGAAGAATCACAATTGCCTGTTTCCCAAATTAATTAGTCTTCCTACTCAACCTATTCATTGTGTAACTTCATTCATGAGATGAAAATTCGAAGGTAGACCAAAGCCTGAAAATGAGCTCTTTTGGGTGGGGAAAGAGGACAGGAGAGGAATGTATCGCTTGTTACCACAAGCACAACGTGGAAATTTCTTCCAGTTCTTTACAGTTTCTGTGTAGTAGCTTGATTTTACTAATTAATAATGATGAGGACCATGGACAACACTGTAGCAAGCTCCATTCACACCAAGTAATGCTGAGAACTGCTGTAAAATCCAGGAAAATTGGAGCTAGAGATGGACAGCTGGGCTGAGTAGGACCTCAGTAACCAAGCCTACAGCTTAAACCACAGTCACTCCTGCTTTCACTACAAGCAAACCACATAAACAAAGCAGTAACTGTAAGGCATTAGAGGAGGAAATAAGGGAAAACCAGCTAAAACAGAAAAAGCAATGTAATAAAGCCTGTTTTTTATATATCACTGAGAGTTTGGCAAAAAAAAAATAGAGAATATACACACAAGATTCTTTAAGCTAACAGCCTTGGCCTG